TGATGCACGCGTACTCTGGATTACATTGATACCGATCAAAAACACTACTACTAACATAATATTATCAAGCAGTGCTGTTGCCAGTGGTAGTCAAAAATATATAGCAGTGGGTATATAATATACATACTAATATAATATAATATAATATATACAATTTAATTCAACAACTACTTATTTGGGGAGGAGTGGGGGGCTGATGTAGGTAAGATCCTACTAGCGCCCTACTTTGATATAGATAGGTAAATCAATAACTACATATGATATTATGTGTAAGTTCCTGCATGATATAAAAGGTGCATATGTGAATTGCTCACAGTAGAAAAAAATATTAATTATTATTTATAATTTTATTTCATTTTCAATTTTCATACATATTATAGTGTGCTATAAGAGTATCTTATACAATTCTATATTTTATATAACTTTATAGGTAGATTAAAAATATCATAATTAATTTCCATACATTTTAATATAACATTTCATAGTTGTAAAAACAAAAATTTATTTTTTATAACATTTATATACATTTTTATACCGATTACAAACAAATATACTATATTTCTTATGATATTAATTTATAAAATATTTTTTTTTCTGCCATGTCCCATGTAGGAACTTACATTCGCACCTTGTTTATCATGTAAGAACTTACACATCTCATTTTTATATTCGTTTTGCTGATAATTACATTGGTATACCACCGTAGACTGCGGAAAATAATATTAAAAAATGATATGGCTGTTGTCTTGAACCATAATTAATAGACAGATATTAATATTAATTCTTAGACGTGGTTTCCAGGCTGCATACGTCACAGGAGCAATGATAATTAATGAGCACTACTTATGTAACAACGAAAGAAAAAGGAGGTGAAAATAAATACTTTAGTATGAGCTACAAAATATGTGAATTGTAGCGAAATGCAATAAAAACGAACTAATACGAAGCTAATACGAAACTAGGTGATTGCAGAAAGACTGCTATGAAGGACAATAAAACTATAAAATATGTTGAAAAGAGCGTAGGTACATGATGAACGGCAGCTGAAAAAAAAACACGAACGAACCTTTTATGTTGGCCAACCAGCTCGACGACTGACGAACGTTATCATTGGTATAAATATGAGGAAATTAATTTTATTGTCATATTAAATTTTGTAAAAATTAATTTTATAAAAAAATAATAATAATTGAAAGAATCAAATATTATTTATAAATATAAATAACTTGCTGATCCCGTGTACTTCGTTGCCCATTAAAAGTGCCAACTATAATAATATTATTATGTTTTATTTTATATAATGAACTACCCGACGTTGCCCGCCGACCAGTAACGATGCATTTCTACGTAATTCGTAGACTTGTTGAAATTATTGTCAATGTTAAACAATAAATTCTCATCTATTTTTATCACCGAATAAAAAAAAAACAATTATTTTATATGTTTTTGAATCAAAATATTAGAATTTTATTTATTTTAATCATTACATGGGTAAATGAATAAAAACAATTCGTAAATTATATTAATATTATCTTTCATCTTATAATAAGTACTAACATCTGTTGCCCGCGTCAATTTCTGTTATTATGATCGCGATCAAGAAGTTTTTAAAAGAATATATTTTAAAGTACTTCTGCTTAAATGATATTTTTAGTTTTATTTTCTTATGGCAAAAGAACATACTGATTTTCTCCCCAACCCTATCTTGACAACGTCACATATAGTTGGCCGTGTGAAAAGTAGTCTTGTAGTAAGTTGACTCCTACGTGTTTAAATGTTTGCCACTGTGATTTATTGTTTGTTACGGCAAAAGATAACTTAAAGGGAAATTTAATTCACTTTAAGTATAGATAATTTATAATAATGGTTTTAATATTGCATATTCACAGATAATATTATATTATTATAAACAAAAAAGTGATAGGGATTGTCCATTGAGAAAAGCAAAATATAACTATACTTACGCAATAATCAATATCCCATACACGTTTGTATACTCATTAATTTTCATTAATGAATACATATTAATATATTAATTATATTAATAATTATATTTTTATTCATTCAAAGAAACACATTGTAATTAAATAATATATTATATTATATGTGTAGGTAATTAATTATATTCTAATAATTTTATTAATTTGGCAATTAGAATTTAGTTGCGTACTATTTGTGACACTTTTTCAGAAAAACCTATCGATCCGGCGTATTATATATGTATATAGTCCAAAATACCTAACAATTTATAGTAATTAATAATATTGTATAATATTATTATGCCGACTAATCGTAAATACATAATATATCCATTCTACGAGGTAAGTGAACCGCTAGTATAGGATTTGGTGTTTGTCGCATGTATAATATATTCACGTAATATTGGATCAAGGGAGGAGAGCTCTAAAGAAATTAATTGCCATTATATTTTTTCAAATTTCGATTTTTCGATCTGATGATTTTTAGCTGGTAGTGTGGAGTAGATCTTTCAGTACATTTTATAAAGAACTGTTTTATTTAAACGTGTTATATGAACTTGGGGGAGAATGATGATTATATTTTGGGATCCAGGGGAGAAGACCTACCTATCTCAACTACGAGTAAGATAAATTATTTTAAGAACGCCTATAAAGTAAAGTGATTCCTCATCTGTCATAAAATAAATCGGACCTCCATATTGTCTAAATGATTTCTTTACTGAAATGCGGAAAACCTTCCGGTCGACCAACAACATAAAAGAAAAAATTTCAATAAGGTATTAGTTATAACCTATCTTTGCGATCTTTTATACTGCTTTATATATTATGCTGTAGGAACATTCGAAAACATTTGTTCGAAAACCCCATCGGTAACGCCCAATACAAATATAATACATCTATGGGACTCGACGCTATTCATTGATGGCAGTGAAATCTCAGTGTGCGGTCGTATGTCATTCCGAGACCAAAATAAATCACTAAGGTAATATTACTAAATCCTACAGGTTGTCCAATTTCTATACCTTCATTGTGTGGCCCATTATATTATATTACATTATTATTATTATCATCTTCACTTTTTTATACCCTAGACATTCAATGGTCGGTCACGATTCTGTTGTGGTGAACACCAGGTACCACTAGTGATGCGACAAGAGACGAAAATATTCTCGAGAATATTCTCTTGCAGATTATTACCAGGTAGCTAATTTTCTTATTCTTCATTTCAGTGTCATAGTGATGTGATTATGTTTGAATTTTAGTTCTATTGGTACAGTGGTATTGGTAATTAATTATACATTTTTTATTTTTCATATAATTTTATAATTTTATTAAAAAGACATTACATAATTGAACAAGAAGTTATATTTTAATTTTTTAATTTTTGATTTACTATGAAAATATATTGAATTAAGTATTATTCTAGTGATCTATAATATAGTAGGAAAAAGAAATTGCCTAATATTCTCTCGAAAGATATTAATTTGATTTTACATCACTTTGCACAACACACAGGTAATACATAAATACCAATATTGTATAAAAATTTATATAAAATTATGGTTCTGAAATTATATAAACCGTCAAATATTGGTAATACGTAAGTTAATACGTAAGTTATATTTGCTGAAAAATAATAACTAATAAAGGTGAAATTAGGTAATTGAGTAAGTCACTGAAGGGACTGTGTTAAATTAAAATTTAATGATAAATCATTGCATAAGAAAAACAATTTTGAGTGATTAAGCTAAGGTTTGTCACTCTAATTAATAATTATATTTTGTAATAATATATTTCATTTGCTATTGTACTTATTTATTTTAAAATGAATAATACGGTAGGTTGAATTAATTTTAAGCTAGAACATTGCATAAAAACATTATATCAAAATATGATGTTTAAAAATTATAATAATATTTAGGACATAGGTACACTAATCTCGTATCATATCATATTATTGTTATTAACTTTTGAGTCAATAACCACTCACCCATAGGCGTGCACGAGGGGTGCTTAGGGCAAATAATTAATGAAAATATTAGTACACCATGTGCCTAAAAGTACATTTGATTTTATATAACTTTTAATTTCTATATTATATTTACATAGTACACATTTGCGACCCGCTAACAATTTTTTATATTTGGTCCATTAGAGTCATAATATGATAACAGTGATACTGAGAAAGTATTACTGTAAGTACTATTAGTAAGTACACACCATTATAGAATTCTGTGTACAAACTTTTTTTTTGTTTGTTGATGGACAAGAGCTGATTGTCACACACCGGCAAAAGAGGATTGGATACCGTTGGATCCCCATGAGCTTATCGTGAGTAAAGGTCACTTGCAACTTCCAGGCGCGATATTTCTGACCAATTGTATTAGACAGTATGTCTTGAGCAAACTATTATTATTTATAATCAATTAGTTTTAATATTCAAATGAGCTTCTCTGAGAAGATACCTGAGTCCAGTGAGTGCACTCTGAAAGCAGTTATGGTGGTTACAGGTTATTATTTTTTTTGTGGTAGTCTGCTAGTAATATACATTAAAAAAGAACTTTGGTATTATGTAAATATTGACGATAATTTGATACTCTCAAAAGCCAACCATTCTCAAAAAGTTTTCTTAAAATATAAACAGTTTAAATTATATCACATTTTTTCACATTATTTATTATATATTACAAGAATCTTTGGTTCAGATATTTTGTACGTGGACCAACCCACCTCCTCTTTCTCCTGCTGGGAAAATTAATTATTTTTTTTTCAACTCATTAAGTTAAGATAATGAAGAAATACGTATATTAAGTTTAAAGTTAAATGTAACTTTTATTTTTAAGCTTGTAATAGTAACAATTAAAAAATTAAATTGAATTAAGTAACACATAAGTTACTTTATTACATGGAAAACAATAATTTAAATCCTTATAAAGTTATAAGTTACTTCTAAAAAAAAAATAACTTGATATGTTACTTAATTAAATATTATTACATTTTTAAAATGTTGATAACACAAATTTATGAAGATGTAAGTATAAAATATAATAGATCATCATATTCTGTAGTGGTTCTTGAAGTTGTAGTTGGACGAACGGTAGTAGTTGTTGTAGTGGTAGTTGGGCGACTGGTGGTAGTAGTTCTATTCCTCCTAATAAATCTGTAAATATAATAGCATAATATTCATTATTGAATTATGGTAATTAAATTTTTGTGAATATGAAGCACTTCACTTTGTCATTAAAAACACAATAATTCTGATAGTAAATTCTTTTTTAAAGCCCAACCTAATAATTTTTTAATATTATATGATAATCGAAACAAACCGGGCAAGGGTCTTTAATGTATAGACAGTGTCACAAGTACTAAGCCACTATAATGAATGCAAACTTATTTTTTATTATACCTAACTTAATAGTTAATAACAAGAACTGTTAGAGAATAAATCGTTATCTTATGAATTAATATCGATTGTCATCAAGATTTAACATGTTTTTGAGCTAGGTGGAAGACAATTTCGATTTTTATTATTATTTTATATTAATTTTTCGATTGATCAAAAAACATGATAATGTAATAAGATGAAAAGCAACAATAATTTTTTATTGGAGTCTGAAGTCAGAATATTAAGACAAAATCACAAATATTTAAAAATCATTATGAGTCAAAAATTAATAAAAAAAATATATTATCTACATCTCAGATTTAAAATTTAGACAAGATTCATATTAAATTTTCTTTTGTTTAGCAAAAATAAAAAGTTCAGCGGAAAATCTAATGATTTTTTTGTGTTCGTTCGAAGTTTTTCATTGGATTATTACTGGTAAATTAACGAATTCTCAAAAGAATGATTTTCATTATTTTTATTTAATTCAAAAATTATTAATAGGTCTTACTTACAAACGCGTAACATGAAAAATCGTTTATTTTTATTATAATGTGAAAACTATACCACTAACAAATTATTTTTATTGTATAATAAAGCAACACATAATATAAGACTACTAACAAACATATTATAATCAACAATGTAAACCATATTAACTTTGTAAATGCGATACGCATAATATTACATATTCTATAATAAATTGTAATCAATATTATTAATTATAAAAGTGTATTACAAATGTAAACATGTATAACTGTAAAATGTAAACATATAATACCTGTATTGTAAAGAAGTTAGTCAACTTGTAAATTGAAATTGTAAACAAAATTCTATTCCTTTAAAGGCATAAATCTTTATTTTTAGGGGTGAGGTGCTATGTACTGACGTCCCGCCATATACGTATATACTTAAAATAGCGAGGGGGACATATGAGATTGTTCACACTAGGATGTGGTTGACCTCGGGATTTAAGAATAACGACGCAATAAGAAATTGGGTGCGTAGTTCTGAGAATTCGTCAACCGAAAGTGCGTTGCGAGAATATAAATGAAAAGTGTTATAACATGAAATATCTATGGACATAAATGTTAAACATAATATTACTTTATCTTTACTCTAATCTCTCGACCGACACAACCGGGCGACCGTTTCCTGGAAACACACGCACACGTGTAATAGTAAACGGGGTCAGCGCCATCTTATCGCTAGGTGAAGAGTGGAGAGTAGGCCTATAAAACAGGGACCCATCCACCCGTTATTCAGACGTGATTCACCAGAGTCAGTACGAGCACCTTCACGCCAGTCGACTCTCTGATAAATTTCAGTGTACCAAAAATATTTTATCAGTCTTACATGTCAAATAAATTCTATGTTCATAATAATCTAAAATTGATTTAGAATTATTTACACCCTGTCATCACTTATCTTGTACACCGCAATCTGTGGTGTACAATCTTAAAGCTGAACATAATTATTTTAAATTGAATCATTATTTAAAAATATTAATATTATATATATTTTAAATATAAGTACCTCCACTTATGCCGTGGTCTTGCAGTAGTCATGGTTTTAGACGTAGTTGGTTGATGGCCAATAATTTCAATTCTCTTCACTTTATCACTGTAAATATTTAATTCATACAATATTGATTTTTGAAGAATTATGATTTTGACATCTATGTGTTTTTTAAATTCAAATAATATATTACATTTCCATTTAAAACGCAATTCTGATGAAACCTAAATGTTTTCTGAAGCCTCAGAAACCACACAATTTTTTATTATTATATTTTCAGATTCTGAGTTTTTTTTGTTGTTAATCACTTTTCAGTGCAGTACAATTGATACGAAATTATACTTCATCATTTTTTTCTGGCAGAAAAGTGCATCTAGTTGGCAGTTTGGGGGGTCAAAAATGGTTTTCATTTCTTCAATAGAGTTGGGAACAACAACATTTTTGACAAAATTGATTTCGTTTTTTTATAGTTACACATAAATCACATTTTCATACAATTTGTTTTTACAATTTTCTATACAAAATAATATGTTCAAAACATTTAGACCAATTCCGATCTATTTATAAGTGAAATTATCAATTTTGTTTAGTTTTTTTAATTAGTGTTAATAAATGATTTTTCAGTGGGATAAATAAAATTGAAAATAAATACAATTTTCAATTTTCATAGCTAAATATTGAATAGGTATTTAAAACAAGGTTCTCTTAAGGAGTGCATAATAATATTAATATATTATTCCCAAAAGAATCTAATAAATGTATTAAGACCGTTTTTTTTGATAGACATTTTATGTTCAAATTATGACGAAACTATAAATATTTAGTCGAAGTAAACGATGTTCGTTATTTCGTTGAAATTCAAAAAACATTATTTGTTGGGACTTAAAACGTTTAAGTATATTATACATTTTACTATACGCAACTCAATTTTCAATATAAGCAATGTTTTGGAAAAAAATAAATCGATCTTTCGTAATCATATAGTAGAAAAATAATGTAGATACTTGAATAGCAATATCAAAAAAAAAAAAAAAATGGGTAAGTGTGTACACTGTACATTAGTGTCTAGAACTCTAGAGAGTGATCGTGTAATGGATATGTTAAATTTGAATTCAATAATAATCACTGTATATGAAAAATGATTCTAAGCAAGACAGTTTGGCAGCCTTAAATATTACTAAGTAAATTGTATGATATTATTGCAATTTAAGTAGTTACTTTTGCTATTAGGCATTACTAAGACAGTAGGTTAATTTCATTTTGGCTGAAAAATTGCATTTGAAAAGTCATTGTGTGTAAAATGTTACAATACAGGTTCTCTACAAGTTGCAAGTCCCTACCCTCAAATAATATTATCAAATTACAACTAAAAATCTAAAATCGTTATTCATTGTTTTAATTAATAATTGTGTCCAAATTTTAGTTTAAAATGTCTTTAAAAAATAACTGTGTTTCTATATTTTTAGATTTTTTTTTACAGTATAATCAATTTATAAGACTCCTTGTTTGAATTTTTAACTCTTCGATGTAAAAATAGTCAATTTATATTTTTTAACTACAAAATACTTTGTAAATGTTGTCAAAATTTGAATTTTGAATACTTCTAAAAATAATCGTGGCTATGGATATTTAATACTTATCAATTGCAGCTATAAAAACTTATAAGGACACTCGTATTTCAATTCCAGATTTTTGACCAGACAAATTTTATAGACCTTAATAAATTACAAAACTAAACAATGTCAAGTTTCATATGTCTGTAAATGACTAAAAATTAATCAAAATGTTATAAAAATTGTGTAATGTAGGGAACATTATAAAATAAACATTTCAAGAAAATAAATTCTAATTTAAATATTTTGAGGTTGTGTATATTATGTTATATTTTGTTTCAGAGCTTTCACTAAAAACAAAATTTCAGTTTTTCATTAATTTTCAAAATATTATGTTTACCCTTTACGTGTTCCCGGACAATTCGATTTTATGAAATGTTCGCTGCATTCCTTCTCACAGCATTGTCTTTGAAGAAATCCATGTTTTTCTCCTCTTATTTTGAATCTTCCAACAATAGTATCTGAAACAGATTGCATACATAATTACATTATAATTATGGGTGTATAATAATAATGTAGTTTTTATCGATGGTCAATGAAGTAAATAACACTATCCCTCACTTGTTTGATTCCTTTGTTGTGTCTTTGACGGCTGGAATACAAGCATTCTTGGTTTATCTACACAATGTTTTTCTATAGTCCTATCGAGCAATTCTCCACAAAATTTTTGTTTGGTGTCTAATACGTTTGTATCACCTTCCTCGGCAGCGGTCACCGATGTATCAAAAGCAATGGTACAGGTCCATACTATGAGAAATACTTTCAAAGAATTCCTGAAATACGCACATATATGTATTTAAAGGTGGTATACGAATGTCAGTATATTTCATTGCATCTTATTATTTTTTTTACTTGACAGTAGTTTCATTTTTTACATTCTACTTGATATGATTATTTCTGATGCGAAAATAAACCGACGTAAGTTAATATATACAACTGATTGGAGGAGTGGAAGTGGGTCTCCTATAAGTATTATTAAGGTACTTACATCGTCTTCTTTAATAGTATAAAATCTGAACCAAGTTTTCACGACCTTTAAAATTATAAAAGATTAATTTTTTTTAATAACCTTTTTGAAATAGTTTATAAATAAAAGTAAAAAAAAAAAAAATATTAATAATAATAATCTTAATACTTATTAATATTATACGAAATATAGTTTTACGTATAGCTAGAACATAATTTATAAGATACAATTTTACCTATCTAAAATGTTTAAATCGAAATTCGGTTAAAATTACGTAAGTATTAAAAATAATTTTGACTCGAATTTCATGAAATTCATTCAGAAATAAATCGATTTTCAAATAAATTCAACCTCATATTTTGTTGAATTCAAATCTTTATTTTTGGATCTACAGTTTATTATAGCTAAATAATAAAAATATATTTGTTACATTTGGTTAATATACGAAAATACTAATTAATCGTTCATTTATCATGTAACTAATACAATATACCTAGTAGTAAATTAAATTTTTAAATGTTCATAACAATCAAGTGATTACAAGTTTGTTTGAGATATTGTACAAGTTTTTAATTTAGAGTCTACATTGACTAAAAATCAATTTTCAGAATTCTTAGTCGATTAAATATAAATAATAAATAGGTACAATAATTATAATATAAATTGTGACAGTGTGAAACAAATAAGATAACAATTAGTTATAAATTAATTAAGAAACAGCACTAATTCATTACTAAAATCCGATATTTTAATTTTATTAAAATTAATTAATGCATGTTATTATAAAATATAATAATCGTGCAATATAATTAAACATCGTATATACACACATTAAATTCACCATTATATTTATTTCTGTCTGGTTTCGACTAATTTAACTGTTTACATAGATCGTAGTATTTTGTACGCTTGGAAACGTTTATGACTTTAGAATATATAATTTAATAGCTTAACAACACAATGTTATGTTTCCCATATAGAATAACCAAATAAAAATTCTTAAAATATCTAAGTTAAAATTATAATTATATCATAAATTATATTTAATAAATACTTTATTTTCCATAATGACAATTTATTACTTCAATTTAATAAAGTCGTCTTAATAAATTTACTGTAAATTTATATTTTTCCCCTCTGACTTAAAATAATTAAAATTGTAATGTTTTATTCATAAATATTAAAAAATATTATTTTATCGATAGTTAAAAATTAGTGAAAAATGTTACAATTTATAAGCATTATAAAGTAATAGGTAATCTTCAATTAATTAAAAAAATATATTATTACTATTATGCATGAATTTTAAAAATTATTTTTCAAATTATTTAACTAATTGTCTTTATTATCATTTAAAATGTAATATCTGTTTTAATAAACAACTGATATGATATTTTACTCATTAATTCTGACTCCTGACATGGTATAAGAATAGCAGTATAATAAAACAAGACCCTCAACTTAACAATTAAATTATTTTTTTATTCATAATGATGTTTACAATCTGTTAACAATAGGTAGTTATTTCGGAACAATGTAAATAATAAACATTTGACATGAATAATTTGTGTATTAAGCTGTTCACTAACAGCATTTCGGTATACTTAAACTTATTAAAATTACAAACTATAACTAACCTTTTCAGCTACACGAATCGCGCTTTGAGAAAGATTGAAATGAAAAAAAATTCAGTGACGATTGATCAGGAATATCCACAGCCACTAATATGCTGAACAACTAGACAACTACTTTCGTGTAGTAAAGTAACAGGACTGGTTCATGTATTGTATGGTGTCGGTGGAATAAGACGTTTTGGTCGTCAAAAAACGCCCTCTTCCGGGTAAATCCGTTACTAACAATTAAGGTGGTAGCGTTATATCGACGAAGGCTAAAATATATTAAGGATACCAAACTCGTACGGCGCCCTCACAAAAAACGCACAAAAATGAATAATACTATTACATACGTACATGCTGGGCTGTGATCGCTAGGGTTGCTACTTTAATACGCGTAGTGTATAGGTGGATTGGTACTTTGTTTTATCGAGATATATAATGTTTATAAAAAAAATTTGATTTCTTTTGTGTTTTATCCTTGGCACATTTACCTAACAAATCTTGAACCATTATTTTCCTTTTTGATGTCCTACTTTCGAAATTTCGTTTATACATAATTAATGATTATTATATATTTTATTTAATAAATTAAAACACAATTAGCAAAAAACCATAGCCAAATAGGAAATGTAAAATAAAAATAATAAAACCTGATAAAATATTAAATAATACCATATAGTACCATAGGTCAAGGATGGCAAAACCATGCCAAAAGTGGCCGAGGTGACACGCAAAAAATTAAAATATATATTTTTTTTAATTGAACCAAAGTCCGGCAACTATGGCCATTACTTGTTTGTAGTGGGGAACGGTTGAATTTTTATGGAACATGTGTGTGTTTGGCAAAATTTCTAGCGGGCATCCGTAGGTTTCTGCAATGCCCGGCTGTGGAGGGGGGGGGCGGCATCTCCTTGCAGCACCGTGATTCCGGCTGTGACCGAGATTCGAACCGGCGTCTCGGCCACTTTACCCCTCCCAAAATATTTTTACTAAAATTATTATTTTAAAATAAATAATTTATAAAATAGTAATATTATAATTGTATGTACCTAAACTAACCTTTTTTATACTAATACATTAATTATACAATCAAATTACGATAATTTTTTCATTGAGTAAGAATAGGAAATTTTTTTTCTCGTATCATACACGTGTGTGTTTGTGTTGGGCAGAATTTCTATTGGACACCCGTAGGTTTCTGCCATGCCCGGTTGGGGGATGGCGGCACTTGTTCTCTTGTCACCTCGACTTGTCCGGAGAAAAATGCCGCCCGGTGGCCGAGGATCGAACCACGACCGGCTGCGTCGCAGCGGACGTGTCAGACCACTCGGTCACCTCGTCCCTCAACAAAAATAATCTCCGTCCGAATGCCACTCTATGCCTAAAACCTTGGTGCCTAACCTTTTAATCTCTTCGAACGATATAGGAGACCTACGCGATCGTCGGCCGCCACCGCTGCTAGAACGGACGGTGTGTTTGACGCCCATTTTTTTTAGCTCTAAGCCATATTTATTTAAAACAAGTATCAAGTCAGACTGAAGCTTCAACACTTCTGTGATTGTGTCCGCCCCGTAACAAATGTCATCGAGATACGTGATACGTTTGATGTGGCAATGCGTGACGTACCCACTCGAAATCGTCTCAATCGTAATGAGAAATAGTTTGTAGAACGTGTAATTGTATTTAATTCATACTCGCACAACTCGTCGTGCGGCGACGAACCCCATAGTATGTGCTGATACCTGCGATAATAAAAATTAATATTTGCCGATACATTTTGCAAATATCCTTAGTAAAGGCATATTTATGAAGGCGAAAACGTGTTAAAATATCGACAATATCTTGTTGTAGCTTAGGGCCGGGAAGTAGACAATTATATAACGAAAGACCACGACCACTACAAGCGGATGCATCGAATGCTACCAGGTTTGAGCATCAATCTCGAGCCGATATATAGCATGATGCGGAGTGATAAACGCTCCCGGGGACGTGGCAAGAGACATATGCCCTGACGACATGTATTCAGACATGAATTTATTGTACAACACCTTTAGCGACGGGTTCGCGGCCAATTTGCGCTCGAGAGCGTCAAAGCGCCGAAGCGCTACCTCGCTGGACCCGCGAAATGCATCTTCCAATGCCGGTAAACGAAAAGGCAGTAGAACGGAAAAACGTCCGGACGATTAACGTACAACTTTGTCCTGGAACATCTGTTCGTACTTCCCATCATTCGAACATGTCGCCGTTGCCATATCCGGCTCCTCGACATGCAAAAAATGTTCCAATAGCCTTTCGATAGAAACGGTCATTGAGACAAGTGCCGACTGATACGGGCTGGCTTCCGGTTCAGACACGGCGCCAATCAATATCCAACCAAAAATTGAGCTATAAGCGGATGGTGACGCGCTATCCACTGTACATTTACGTCCGTCCATGATCGATGCATAGACGTCACAGCCCAATAATATATCAATCGGCGACGCAACGTAGAAATACGTTATATAACTTTGTACCATTTATTATTATACAGAATTATTATTTTAACCAACACACATACGGTGAGAATATCACATCCACCCTCGTATGGACGCACTGAAGGCGGGGTTGTGGTGGTCTTGTAAAGTAGTAGTTTTGCCCGCAATCTTTGAAAGCATAGCGTACAAGAATAGGAATATAATATTTTAGAGTAAAGTGAATTCTGATAATTTAGTGTCCTACAAGACACATGTAGTAAAGTAGGTGTTGTGAATACTCAATTATATATACATATATATGTGCAAGTGTTCAATACAACATTTATTCGATAAAATACATCTCTAATTCAAGCTAAGAATTACAATTTTCACTCATACAATCGCGCTGCGTACCCATCAGACAGTTTAAACTGTACCCATATTAAGTTGGACTACAGTGCCATTTGTATAATGTTATTAAATTACCAGCGAACAGTAGCTGTAACCAATATTTACCCCATCTATTCTTCTTTTGGAAATTGTTGTGTATTAATGTATTTTTGAAAAACAATTTGTCCTTGTTAAACAATGCAGTAAGAAAAATATATTTATTGTACACATAATTTCAAAAGTACTTTTTAAATTTGATTGATTAACTGTAACAATGATTATCAAGTATTAATAATTTGGCTTTGTGATTTTCAAATAATATGTAACATGTGAGGTATAACATTTGTACTAGAGTACGTATTATTTATATAATATATTAACAAAATAATAAAATAACAAGTCCTACAGTATTATTCTTGATCAAATACTTTTTATGTATTATGTAATATTTGTATTAATTCGTCTTGCAAATTCACCGACATAACGTACCCACTAGTATTATTATTATTATCATGGGATATGATTTGAGTTCAAGCTTATGAAAACATTGTGTGTACACTATTATGAAGGTTTCACTTTTCAATGATAAGTTTTTTTCTATAAAATATATTTCAATTGATATCTACAAATAATTAAATTATTGTTTTAACTGATGTCCTTTGTCTTCTTTTGACATGGGCCTTCAATACCACACTGTTATAAATACGCATATATTTGTGATCTGTTTCTTATATATAACCTCTGCAGTTTCTCTAAATTTGATATCTGGTCATATTATTTTACCTTCATCACACAGGCTTACACAACTTTTTCACACAACCTTACCCCTTACACTTGGCCTCCTTAAAAGTGTTTTGCCCATACAAAAATGCTGTACATAGTATTTCTATTATCGTCCAATACTAAAATGTAGTTATACTATTATAGTATTCATACATCATTGATATCTAAAATTAAATAATATCTCATGAATATATATTTTAAATATATAAATAACATTACATAATTATGTAAACTATATCTCATAAATAGTATTATTTTAATAACCTTTTTTAGATATTACTTTGATTTTATTTTATTTACATGGTTAGGTTAATATTAATCGTTAATTAATAATAAAGCTAATCAATCATCTGTGCAATGGTTAAGTCCCACATGTGATATAGTATTAGGTGTATTTAGGTTTACATTTTCTTGGTATCTTTTTTCTTTTTTATTCCGTCTTACTGGTCGTCTTACTTGTAGAAAAAAGAATTTTGCTATTAATTGAAAAGTTTGATTTGTTTAATAACTTTTGGTGTGTGTTTTAGTGATTAATTTAATGTAAGTACTAAAATAAATAAAAAAAAGTGTGTTACATTTATGGCATTTAATTGTAACATTTTCTGTAAATTCACAGATTCCCCAAAGTGTTTGCCGACTCCTGACAGAAACTGTATAAAACTCAGATTATATTGTTTGAATAATTCTTTATGAACTATTTACCCATGTGAGAAAAAGAATACCTAATATTTTGGAAACTGTTAAAATGTTTAGTTATAAATTTATAATATTTAAAAAAAAATAATAATTTACATGTCTTAACAGAAAAAAAATATTTACAAATTATAATTTTTCTTCATGTTATCGACATTTTCGGAAATGAACTGAAAAAAAAAACAAATCATAAATGTTAGTAATTGAATGAAACAAGTTGACACAGATCTAAGTTTATCCAAACAGTTTGATAATTTATTATTTGCATAGGTTGTGTACCTATTAGGGAACTGATGCACAATACGTTTTCAATGTTCTTCTTTTGCAGGGCAGTGTGCAGCATTCATCGACGACCATCGACAATCCCAAACGTCTCCGGGTGCCTATAGAGAGCTCGGGTTGGCCAGCTGTAAACAGTTCATGTGCATGTCAATATATCAGTGGTGGAGATGTCAAAAATCAAAACAAATGTATGCTGTACTAAGGTATGAGGACAGGTAATAATGATGCTAGAAAACAGTGCCCAGAGTGCGCTCATACCGATCACAATAAAAACGATTTTGCCGTTTCTTCAAACTATCCGAAAACGAACATCTTTCAATAAATAGTTTTACATATTATTCTCGACATGATACCAAATATACAAAATATTTAAGTTTATTTAACGAAAATTCTCAATAATCAGAAATTGTTATGTTTCCCTCGAGACTTTTATAATTTCAATCCTCGAATGTCTGATGCGAAAAAATAGCTGTACTCATAATACATATAAATCAATGGTCATAGAGAAAATATTATGTATTCCTAACTAATCTCGCGTAATATATTTTATG